TTCTGTTTTGTTTTATTCTTGGATCGGGCTTTAAAGGGTTAAATACGCTGTGTAATACTCTTAAATTAACGGTTTTATTGTGTGTATGCGTACTAGCCTGAGCAGAAATAGATACTCCAAAAACTAGATACTGGGGAAATCTAAACTTTTTGACAGCCAATAAATTCATATATCAGTAACACCATGTTATTGGAGCATAACCCCCCCCCCACCCCATACACACACACATATTTATTCATGTTTCGTTGATAAAAATCTTACTCTGGTAGTAAGTACAATTTGAAAGAAGAAATATGAAATATGATAAAAATACATTTTTGTGTTTATTTGATTCCTATTCCAGACACTTTAGATAAGATAAGAATAAAATCAGAATAACTATAGTGTTACTATAGGCGGATACAGATTTGTTTGACATTTTTGGTTGGTGTGCCTCGAGATTTTTTCAATGAAAAACTGTACCATGGCTCAAAAAAGGTTGAAAAACACTGGTCTAATTCACCTCGTGTTTTTGACAATGACAATAAAGGAAGTCTATGTCTATGTCCATCTATGTCTAATCTTCAACTTCTTCCTCCACAGCACTGTAACCAGTCGGACCATGTGACCCACCTGTCCGACATGCTGAACATAATCTTCACGGTGCTCTTCACGGTGGAGATGATCCTCAAACTCATGGCCTTCAAAGCCAAGGTCAGTCCCAGTTCCAGGAACAACAAGTAACATGTTGACATTTGGTTGATGTGTTCAGATAAAGTTCAGAGAAGGCTTGTTACAGTGGGAGAAATAAGTATTTGAGCCCTTGCTGATTTTGCAGGTTTGCCCACTTACAAAGAATGCTTATTTTTCCTCATCAGATGGTTATCAATTTTTATAAATTCATATGATGTGATTTTCTGGAATTTTCTTTGGGATTCTGGCTTTCACTGTTAGAATGTACATATGATTAAAGTTATAGATCGTTGCATTCTTTGTAAGTGGGCAAACCTGCAAAAACAGCAAGGGCTCAAATACTTATTTCCCCCACCGTATGTGGAGACAGAACACCAATTCATCCATTGAGTTAACACGTAAAAATAACCAAGAACAACAGTTCTCCAAGCTTTCTGAATTAAAAAAAATAGTTTTTATTTTTATTTTATTTTGTTAGGTCACTTAACTGACCTATCTCAGCCAGAGAAAAGGTCCCAAGCTCACATGAATAGATTCAGTTCAGTTCTGTTTATTTGAACAACAAAACAATATAAGATGTGTAAATACAACACAACACAATGAATACATAAACCATAATAAATTGTTCGAAAAGGAATGGGACGAAGTATAAACTTTTAAGTTTCCCATCCCTAATGATTCAAGAAAGAACTTTATGGAACCCTTTAGAGTATTCCATCTATCCATCCATCCATTTTCCTCCACCTATCCAGGAGTGGGTGTATATAAACATGTTATAGTGATGGTTGTATAGTGTTTATATGTATACTGGTGGTATGGAAAATAATTATTTTGAAATGATTAAACTGTCTCCAAACTATCTCTAACTCTATCCTCAATCTCTCCAAACTCTCACTGACTGCAACTCTCGATCAAACACCCACATCTATCTATCTATCTATCTATCTATCTATCTATCTATCTATCTATCGTCAAATCTCATCAAATGTTATCTGTAGGCATTTCAATTCAATCAAATTCGAATCAAATGTATCATAATTGTCATTTTCACTACATCCTAATTCTTCCACCTCTTACAGAAAAAGTTCAGTGGCTAAATAAACCAGTAGTACATTTGTATTTTATCTAAACACCCATCTTGAGTGGGCAGAAATCATCTGTGGAAAGAAAAACTCCGTCTACAGATGAACTCCATCAGAACCAGAACCAGGGAGAACCAAAGAATGTTGGAATAAATTAGATAAATAAAATATCTGAACCAATCTTGAAAGAACTAATGCGGGATTTTCTCAGCTCAGCAACTGGATTTGGATGAACTGGATGTTGTTTGAATTTGATGAACTTGAACTGATTGGACTGGATTGGATCCTTGAAATGGCCTGTCCATTTTAAGTGCCTAGAAATGACATTAGTTGTGATTTGGTGCTATATAAGTACAATTTAATTAAACTGAATTAAAGAGTGCAATGGTTTCTCCAGCTCATTCACCAGTTCTTCTGTCCATGGTGCTTTTCATCTGAATTCAGTTCAATAGTAATAAATGATCATGTTCAACCCTTTGACTGAAAAATGTTAGGATTTTTTATTTTCACTGGTAAATATTGTATTTACTATTGTTGTTGTTGTTGTTTTTTTTACCAGTTATTTAAAACCACGTTGTATCCACCAGTCTCTGATCTATCTTAAGAAAAACCTAAAGTTCTTTAACCTCGTTTCTAACTTGATTATGTTCAGTTACAGATGAGTGCTCAACTTTCATATCTAAATATCTTGTTTTGTGACAGGGTTATTTCGGAGACCCGTGGAACGTCTTTGACTTCGTCATCGTCATCGGAAGTGTTGTTGATGTGATGCTGAGTCAGATTGATGTGAGTAAAACAATCCATGCTCCCAAACATACAAGTCATGGACTAAAAAGAAGGGATTCTAAATAGTGTCATTTCTGGTTTGAAATCAAAAGCTTTAAAAACTGTCTAGTATCGTGTCGTGAGATTTATTAGTGTTATTCAATGTGAATTTCCACTTTCCATTTCCACACACATTACAACTTCTTACTCCACACACAGCTCAGCCCTAAATGTCAGGTATAATGGTACAGTGATCCCATTTAGAGGCCTGTAAGAAGGACTTGTATTTGGACTATGAAGTTATTCAAAAGTAATGATTTCTCATACAAATGTGATCATTATAAAAGTTAAAATAGGTCCAAAGTGTTTGCAGCTTCACATAAAAAATTCACAAATATGGTCAGATCCTAAAGAAATAAGACATTGACCAAAAACCTGATCCACTCTGGCCGTCTTTCTTTAGACAGGGGGTTCACACCCATTCATCCTCACATTCATATTCTTAAACAATAGTTCACAGAGCTGTTCAATGCAACATAAAAATAAATTCCATTGGTTATGTCCTTAATCCTCAGTCTCCTACCAAAGTATTTTGGGGGAATCACTGGACTTAAGTTTCCTCTGAGATTCTCATCGGTACACAATGAATAAATAACATACAAAGTGCTGTATGAATGACACAAATCATGTGAAAATCCAGATGGGAGGTCAAATTCTACTGTCTGACTTTAGTAAAAACCCCATTTGTGTTTTATCCCCAGGCGGCCCTGGCCTCCTCCGGTGGACTTTACTGTCTGCACGGCTGCACTGTAACTATCCTCCTCTCTAAGTTTTGCATGATGTTTACTATTAATTTCAGTCTAAACAGACTCTGTAAGTCGCTTTGGATAAAAGCGTCTGCCAAATGCATAAACATAAACTATATGTGCCATACTAATATGCATGACTGTGTTAACCCGATGTTTTCGTTGGAAACCTGAAAAGAATGCAACGATCTATAACTTTAATCATATGTACATTCTAACAGTGAAAGACAGAATCCCAAAGAAAATTCCACAAAATCACATCGTATGAATTTATAAAAATTGATAACCATCTGATGAGGAAAAATAAGCATTCTTTGTAAGTGGGCAAACCTGCAAAATCAGCAAGGGCTCAAATACTTATTTACCCCACTGTATATACATGGGCATGAAGACAGAAATCTGTGCATGAGACACATCAGAAGTGGAATGTCCCACTATGCTAAAAAACTGTGTTTGTTAAAGCCGTTTTTCAGAAGAACTTTGTAACTCTTTGTCTGCAGGAAGTGGATCCGATGCAGGCGATCGCGGTGAGTTTCTCTGGTTTCTCTTGAGTTTTAATCGAGTTGCATTTCCAGTGGTGGAGAAAGTACTCATACAATGTACTTAAGTAAAAGTACAAATACACAGACAAAAATTGACTCGAGTAAAAGTCAAAGTACCACATTATTATTTTACTTAAGTAAAAGTAAGAAAGAACAAGCTTTTAAAACTACTTAAGTATTAAAAGTAAAAGTACTTGCCAACCATAATAGCTAACGGCTTATATAATGTCATTAAGTGTAGCTATCGTATTTAGTTTGAATAAATCATTAATGTACCATTTTAATGAGCAATGCTGCAGATAAAGCATGTTTTTATTGTGTTTACCCCCTGTGACAGTTTAGATTTAGATATTTTATGCAGGTCCTGGTACTGTGCTGCTCTTCTTGAGGGAGGGCCTAATGGTTATTATTATTATTATTATTATTATTATTATTATTATTATTATTATTTCCCGGACTGATTCTGCTCTCGCCATTGGATACTTTCAAACTAACGAACAAATCAAAAAACCCAAATGCGTCTTGGATGTAACGAGTAACGAAACGCTGTACAGAAATGTAGTGAAGTAGAAAGTACAGATACTTACTGTTAAATGTAGTGGAGTAAAAGTAGAAAGTATCCATTATTAAATCTACTTAAGTAAAGTACAGATACACGGAAATTGTACTTAAGTACAGTAACAAAGTACTTGTGCTTCGTTACTTCCCACCACTGTGCATTTCAGTGCTGTTATTTCATTGGTCCTTCCTCTCTGTGAACAGTCCTCGGAGAACATGAGCGTGTCCATCACGTTCTTCAGGCTTTTTCGGGTCATGCGTCTGGTGAAGCTTTTAAATCGCTCTGAGGGGATCCGGAACCTTCTCTGGACCTTCATCAAGTCCCTTCAGGTTAGGAAAGTCCTTCTACTGTCCCGTCTGGGGGGGGGTGATTATAATATAATATAAAACTGAATGTGAATCCTCTGTGTACTCGTATGCAGCTTTATTTTTACTTTCAAAACACTCTCCAGATGCTCGCCACATATATTATATATATATATATATATATATATATTATATTTAAGTGACTATAACTGAACAGATCCATGTTTCCAGTAGAACTCCTGCTGTTGTCTGGTTAAGCTTTTATTTTCTGGAGTCGTCGGCTCTTCTTTGGGCCTTTTCCCTTGAAAAAAAAACTTTCCAAAGATTTCAGTTTTCTACTCCATGTCCCGTCTGGGGGAGTTTCTGGTGTCTTGTCATGTCTTGATCCCCTATTGTGTTCCCCTGGGGTTCCCCTCCCTCATGTGGTTAAATAGTCCTGTTTCCCATGTCCTGGGCCAGTGCGTTTTTGTCCTTCTTCACTTTTCGTCACCCCTCACCACGTATAGCCAAGTTTTTTGCCATAGCCATGTTTTTTTTTCACAGCCATGTTAATCTTTATTTTGTTACTTCAGAATCTGAATCTGAATCAGAATCAGAATCAGAATAAGGTTTATTGCCAAGTAGGTTTTTAGACTTACAAGGAATTTGCCTTGGTGTTTGGTGCACTTTGGTGTACTTTGTTATAGTTTTGCCACAGCCGTGTTTTTGTACTTTGTCTGGACTTCCACCTTTTGTTACAATAAACCCTGTTTTTCCGTCATCTCCACGCCTGAGTCCTCCCTCAAAACCCACCACCCTGACAGTCTCTGTCTGAACCCTCTAGTCTCAGACTGTCCCGTCTGGGGGAATGTCTGGTGTCTTGTCATGTCTTGATTATCTATTGTGTTCCCCTGGGGTTCCCCTCCCTCATGTGGTTAAATAGTCCTGTTCCCCATGTCCTGGGCCAGTTCGTTTTCGTCTTTTTGTTTCGTCTTTCATCTCCCCACGTCATGTAAGGTTTTGATTATTTCCCATAGCCATGTTTTGCCACAGCCTTGCCACAGTTTTGTTAATCTTTATTTTGTTACTTTGCCATAGCCTTGTTTTGACCACAGCATGTTAATCTTGTTTGTACTTTTGCCACAGTCTTGTTTTGATACTTTGCCACAGTTTTGTTAACCTTGCTTTGTTACTTTGCTCATAGTTTTGCCACAGCCCTGTTTTTTAACCTGTTTTTGTTGCAATAAACCCTGTTTTCTGCATCTCCACGCCTGAGTCCTCCCTCAAGATCCACCTTCCTGACTTATACAGCTTTTCTTCTGTCTGTGGACCAAACTCTGACACGTTCCTCCTCCTGCTTTATTACAGGCTCTCCCTTATGTGGCCCTCCTCATCCTCATGCTCTTCTTCATATACGCAGTGGTGGGAATGCAGGTACACACAAACGCACAAAAATGATTTACAGCGCAAAGTCAGAAGTAATGACATGTCTATTAAGTTCACAGAACTGGTGGGAAAGTCTGAAATATTATATAAGTTTATGACAGTAGAATGTACGCTGCTTTAAGACATGTTTAGTCTTAGTCAAGTACACAAGTGATTTAGGGAAGAGCCGTTTAAAGAGGCACACTTGCAAGGCAAATTCAGGAAAGAATCAGCCAAGCGTAATTAGTGAAAATCGTTAACATGTAGTTAAAAAAATATATAAATGTAAACTATAAATGTTTTGTTTACTCAACAATAAATGAGTAAAATGCAGCTTTATGTGCTGTTTGGGTTCATTAAACTATTGTAGACATGGTGTGAACTGTAGGCTACAGTTTTTCTTTTATTTGCTGTATTCCATTTTCTGGAGAAAATCTAGAAACAGGGGCTAAGCAACTGGTCTAAAACAGGATGGAGACTGGAGAGCAGATTAAATCAAATTCTACGTATTAACTAAACACTAATTGAAGAAAAAAAAAGATATGGGTGCGGTACAGGAGCGGGATGGGATGGGATTATTTTTTAAACTTTGGTCTGGGACGGGACAGGAGTGAAAATCCACTCCTGTGTCATCCTCTACTCTGCATTCAAATATGAAATAATTAAAAATAAATGGTCATGTTTGTCTTTGAAATGACTCAACCAGCTATCTGAATACTTACTCACAGATGAATGATGTGAAATGGGATAAGCTCAGGGTGTGTGATGGTAAATGTCTTCTCCTTTTCTCTGCAGATATTCGGTAAAATCGCGTTGGTCGATGGTACGTTCATCAACAGAAACAACAACTTCCAGACTTTCCCTCAAGCCGTGCTGCTGCTATTCCGGTTGGTGTTCTTTAATTTTATTTGCTTTTATTTATTTATTTATTTATTTATTTATTTATTTATTTATTTATTTATTTATTTATTCATTTATTTATGTATTTATTTATTTATTTATTTATTTATTTATTTATTTTTAGAGATTTTTAAAGATTCCGGTTGGTGTTCTGACTCAGACCGGTTTGTGGTTTGCTTAGACATCTAATAAAAACACGAAATTATGTTAACCCTTTAAATGCTGAGGCCAAAATAGGACATTTTTTTACCATAAAATGGTCCGGAAAGGCTCTGAGACTAATGTTCTATTGGTCCCTTTTTCTAGGGGTACTTGAACTTGAAAATAAAAAAAAAAAAGATTATTTTTTTATTTCATACTTATATGAAATACATGTGTGATTTTATATAAAGAAAGTTAACTGGAAGAAGTGATTGAATTCCAAAGTGGAAACACAATAGTGATGATCACTGCTGTGTAAATTAGACTGTTCTGTAACACTAAACATCTCAGAGAGTCAAGAGAAAACTCAGAGTGATCTCAGTTAATTTTTAACAACTTTAACAACTTTTTATTAGTTCATATTTAGATTGAATTAATTCCCTGTGATGTACGGATGGACTTGGGAAGAAATGGGAATGGGTTGGCTCTGTTCAGTGTTTTGAAGAACAATACATCATATATCTAGAGAAGACTTGAACTTTATGTTTATGTTTATACATTTAAAATATTTTATCCAAAGCGACTTACAAATTAGACACAATTTGACCGTTTTCATATGGATTATAACAGTAAAATTGCGTGTAATTTGTAAGAGACTTACAAGGAATTAGCTACTTTGTATAATTGGCTAAGATTTTTCCAAACTTACTAACAAATCAAAATGTTTGGAAATTCTATGTATTCATTAGCCACAGTGATAATGTGAACTCTTCCTTTTCCAATAAACTACAAACCTAACTCCAGATCCAGCACCTCAGTCAGTATATATATATATAATTTAATATATATATATATACTGTATAAATTTTTTGTAATTGTTATATATAATTAATGGTTAATTATCTATAACTGTTATCTTATATTGTTATATTTTATATATTATAAATAATAATACTGTATATAACTTATGAGCCACAGTGATAATGTGAGCTACAAACTCTAAACTATATATATGTATATATATATATATATATATATATATAGAGAGAGAG